AGTTGGTCACTATGACACACACTGACCACCAGGGGGCAGACGCTCAATGCAGGAGCTGCCCTCTGGTGGTCAGTGCGCTCCCACATGGGGAAGCTCTGCTCAGCCACAAGCCAGGGTGATGGCTGCTAGTACAGTGGTGGTGGTGGGAGCCTCTCCTGCCTCCTCAGCCGTGCTAAGGATGTCTGACTGCAGCTTAGGTCTGCTCCCGAGGGCTGCCCAGCTGCCAGAGGGATGTCTGATTGACATCTTAGGCCCAATCCCTCAGTGAGAAGGCTTAAGCCAGCAGGTGGTCATTCCCCGAGAGGTCCCAGACTGCGAGAGGGCACAGGCCGGGCTGAAGGACTCCCCCACCCGCCCCCCCCAAGTGCACAAATTTTTGTGCACTGGGCCTCTAGTAGGATAATAAAAGCAAAATATGCTAATTAGACCGGACAGCCGAATGACCTTCCGGAAGTCATTTTGGTTGTCCTTCCGGACGAAGCCGCCATGGTGGGGGCTGAGGCAGAGGTGGTTAGGGGCAATTAGTCAGGTAGGTGAGTGGTTAGGGGTGATCAAGCAGGCAGGCAGAGTGATGAGGGGTGATCAGGCAGGCAAGTGGTTAGAGGTGATCAGGCATGCAGCGAGCAGTTAGGGGCGATCAGGCAGACAGGCAGGGGAGTGGTTAGGAGCCAGCAGTCTTGGATTGCAAGAAGGATGTCTGACTGCCAGTTTAGGTCTGATCCTTGTGGGACATCCCTCGAGGGGTCCCGGGTTGCAATGAAGTGCAGGCGAGGCTGAGGGACCCCCCCCTCCCATGCATGAATTTCATTCACTGGGCCTCTAATTCTATTATAAATGTGACACTCCACACAGCAAAGATGGACTGACAGCATTTTGGAATTTTAATTCTGCCACAAATATGAACAGCAGCTGGGTTTACAGAAGAAAGTAAATGCCTCCAACTGCTGCAAGCTATCCATTATCTACACAATCATGAAAGTGCAAACAGGGAACCCAGAAGGCTGATGGACCTTGAGCTTTGGCAAGGACTAAAGCTATGCACCGATTGTTCTGTTGAGACAATAGTGGTTCAAGCAATTTCCTGACCTAAGAGTCTCAAAGTAAATCTTTACTAATATTTCCTGACCTTTAAGATAGTCTGTCTGTTACCAGATTGCCGGACTGCCTAAGGGCAAGATGTGTATCTAAAATTGAATAAAAAGCTAACAGGGCCTGGGCACCAGTGAAGCCTTTTCACTAGAGAATGGCTCTCCGCCTGGCCCCCTGTGATTTCCAAATTCATATTTCTTATCTAGTCTCTTCATTTATGCATGGCCCTTCTCCAGGTCCTGAACCCTAGCCATGCAGGTTGCGGTTTTCATATCCAACCTCAAGCCAGAGGTCAGGTGTCCATAAGGTGAACTTAATGAACGAATACCAAAAAATATTCTCCAAAAGTAGTTAAAAAGAGAGTAAACTTAAAAGCCTATTTATGATTTTTGCTTTTCTTATTCCTGGCCAACATTTTCCCCTAAATTGACCATTTATACCTAATAGCTACTAACCAAATTGGTTGGTCCTTTCCAATTGTTTTATAGGTAATTATATTGGTTAAGACCACACTTCTTTTGGGAGATCCAAGGTGGTGGCAGAGAAGGTAACAGTAGCACTAACCTCCTCCCAGGAACAAACCAGAATTATAACTAAACTAGAAGCCCGTTGCACGAAGATTCATACAATAGGCCTTCCTTCCCCTGGCTGCTGGCACAGGTTTTCCTCCGGCACCCCGGACCCAGGCCTTTGGTCCGGCCACAATGGAGAAGCCAAGCCTCTTCAGTCTTCAGTCTTCACTCCAGCTGGAGCCTTGCATTTGCTCCCCACCTGCATATGCAAATTAACCACCATCCTTGTTGGGTTAATTTGCATAGTTGCTCTGATCGGCTGGTGAGCATAGCAGAGTGACATCAATTTGCATGTTTCTCTTTTATTACTGAAGATTACAGAAGAATCATCCTGAATAACCCACTGAAGACTAGTTGGGAGAGACTTCTTATAACCAAGGACTTACAGAAGAAGCCACGTGGGGATGGTAGGAAGTGGAGATGTGAGAAAGGCTGGCCCACACATGTAGTGGTTGAGAATCTGTAGGAGCATCTCAGCTGCAAAGATCCCCTGGAGAAAAGGGTCTCAGCCCCAGGCTGGGTTCAGAGCGTCAGAGCAGGGAAGAGGAGTCCATGTCACAGGTGGCTGTGGATTCTACCCACCAGGGAGAAACCAGGTCTGCTAGAAACTGGCGGCTCCGAAAGGGCCATTGTCCCAAATCCTGTGGCGGCCACTCATCCTGGGCTCTGGGAGAGCAGGCAACTCAGAGTAGACTGGGGCCCTAAAGGGAGACACTGGGCTGTGTGGCTTCAGGAAAAAGCTAAAGGGAGGGCCGCCGTCCCTGTAACGAGGGCACTCCCAAAAGCCCACAGATGCACCTGCCCTGGACTGGGCAACCCCATACAGCCCCAGCCTGGGAAAAGGCAGCACCTCACAGCTCCCAGCAGCCCCAACAGCGCGTGCCCACAGAGCACAGGCTGGATGGTCCCCAGGGACCCATAGCACAGACTTCCTGGAGGCTCCCGAGGAGGCTGGCAGTCTCAGGTTGTGTCAGAGTCCCAGGGTGAGACTGGGTTGTGTGGCAAGAGGGAGAGGGCTGTTCCCCTCCCATGACCAGTGCTACCCTCCAGTGTGGAGCCTCCCTCCACACAGACACACCGGGGTCTCCCTTTAGCCAGCTGAGCTCTGTGGGCCTCAGCCCAACACATCCCTGAGACCTGCCCTCACAAAGGTCCACAGGGTGGCTGGCCCTAGTGGACATGGAGACCTTTGCCAACTGGCCTCAGACCTGACACTTTGCCAAGTTTAGTCTGCATCAGCCTAGTGGACACCACTCCCTAACTGACACTCACTGGGAACTGACCTCAAGCAACTCACATGCTGCTGCCAGAGGCTCTCAGGGCTGGGCCCATGGCAGCTGCAGGCGGGCAGAGCCCAGCTGTGGGGGAGCCATGGAAGCTGGCTTTCCTGCACAGCGAGGTCCCTCTCATGCACATATAGGCCCTACGCAGATACAAACTGTGGGTCTCTTTGTAGCTTGAAGCAGGTAATCCAGGGCCAGTTGCAGAATCTTATACTGACCTGCACCGGATTCCACCCCAAGTCCCAGAAGCAGCACATATGGTGGTGGGCTCCTGACCAGATTAGAACGCAGTCCACAGAGGCCACCCAGGGGGAGTGCTCTGCAAGCCCCGCCCTGCTGAGGGGTCCACACACGAGTCAGTCAGTCCTTACGCTCAGCCAGCACGAGCTCAACCCAGAGCAACAAAGCGGGAGGGGAGCCCGGGCGGTGCCAGGTGGTGGGCAGCCGCGGGGACTCAGTCCACCTGGGAGACTCGGACCACATCACCCGGGCACAGCGCCGGTAGGAAGTCTGCTCCTGTCTGGGATTGCTGGAGGGGTCCATGGCAGAATTCAGGGCCAGGGGAGGGGTCTACTTGGTACACGCAGAGTGACACTGAGGGGCCTCTGTTTTCTGGAAGAAATTTGTGGAGAGAGCCAGCCAGAGACTAGATTGTGGCTTGGGACAGAGGATCAGAGCTGCTGAATTGCTGGGATATCCCTCCCGCCGTGATCCCAGACAAAAGGGCACAGTGCTGGGTTGGAAATCCGAGTAGGTACTGCTTGGTTTGATGGCGCGGGGAGTTGGACATTTGGCCCAATGGGAGCCAACTGGTCCAGCCACCAAGAGCCTGGAGTGCTAAGGGGAGCTGATTTTCTTTAATCCTCAGCCAGGGACACTTCTCATTGACTTTTTAGGGAGAGGAAGGGTGAGAGAGAAAAACATGAATCAAGAGAGAAACATTAATCAGTTGCTTCCTGTATGCACCCCAATGGGGGATCGAACCACAGCCTAGAAATGTGCCCTGATGAGAATCAAACCTGCAAGCTCACTGGCTCAACCAGCTGAGCCACCTCCTGGCTAGGTGCTGGTTGTCCATCCTGTCCTATTTGGTTTGGTGGCACAGGGATGCCAGGGAGTCAGGAAGAGCTGAGTTATTGTGACTCTCCTGGGTGGGCTTCTGTCCAGGGAACAGACAAGCGTGTGTTGGGCCCTGCGGCTGTGTTGCAGGAAGCGGATATGGGCTCCCCAGCGAGTCAGCCCAAGCAACCCTGGGAAGGAGAAGACTTGCTCATCCCCTCCTACTGCATACGGGCACCCCTCCCCCGCGGGACTGTTTACACCCCCTGGCCAGGCCCAGATACACCCACTGAGGGCAGATCTGTGGGGAAAGGGAGAACAGCTCAGAATGGGACATTCAAGATGGGAGACCCATGGCAGAAACTCTGGGCTCTGGAGGTCCACCATTCAGGCTCAGGGCTCTGCCTGCCGGTGGCCATGCGCAGGTTGCAGGCCAGTCAGGGATAGCAAGGGGCACTGGTCTGCAGCAGGGAACTGCCTGGGGCCCAGGGCCAGCACCGCAGAGGACATTTTAGACCACATCTGAGAAGGCTCCTATGCGCTCCACAGCAGTGGGCCCAATGAGTGATTGCCATCAGCACCAAAATTGGCTGAGACACACTCCTTTTTCCCCTTTTAAATCTTTTATTTTTCTGATCTATTTAATTATTCTCTTATCTTTATTCTTTCATACCTCTTCTCCCCTTTCCTTATTCTACTTTTCTATTTTCTTTTTTATTCTTTTTTACTGTTTTTCTTTTCTTATTCTGCATTTCATTTTAATTATTACTAGTGGCCTGGTGCACAAAATTCATGCACATTAAAAGAGAATTAATGAGAAGAAATGTTTTAATACTGCTATTTGTCTTTTCTCTATAATAGAAGTGTCAGAAATGAAAAATTAGTAAAATGTATATAAAATCTCCCTCCTGTCAGAGTCTGGGGCATGCTGCGGGACCTAGAGTCAAGTCCCCGCCCACCACTCTCACGCGCTTCGAAAATGCAGGAGACCCAGGCCCAGCTGGCCCCACCCCCGTCAAGCCCCTCCAAGCTGGGGGCACAGCCTAAGGTCCCCCAGCCTGGTGCTGGGTGGGGGGTGCAGTCTGAGGTCTCCCAGCCCAGTGCCAGGGCCGTGGCCTGAGGTTCCCCGTCAAATCCCACTGGCTAGGGGGTGCGGCCTGAGGTCCCCCAGCCCAGTGCCAGGGCAGAGGGCGCAGTCTGAAGTCCCCCATCAAGCCCAGCTTCCCCCTCCCCCACAGTGTCATGGACAAATTAGCATATTCCCTCTTTATTATATAGACTAGTAGTCTGGTGCACAAAATTTGTGCACATTAAAAGGGAATTAATTAGCAGAAATATTTTAATATTGCTATTTGCCCTTTCTCTATAATAGAAGTGTGAGAGATGAAAGGGAATTAGTAAAATGTACATGAAAATAATATATAAATTTATTTATAAAAAACAATAACAACATGATATAACAATGAATATTTTCCATGAAATTTTTACTGTAAGAATCTTAGTTTACCATTAATTTTTTTAAATATGCTGGGTATTCTGGAAAATCTATATCATTTGGACAACATTTTCCTTTGCTCAACA